CTGCGCCCTCTACAGCTAAGATGGTGAACAACAGCTTGACCTGGAGCTGGGCTGCCGTGGGTTGCCTGTGACAGCGTTGGCTGCAGCCCCTGCTGCAGTGGGCTGCCATAAGCTACCGTGTGTGGCCGGCAGTCAGTGTGAGCGGCTGGCAGCCGGTGTGAGCTGCCAAGAGCCACCGTGAGTGGCCATCCAGAGGCCAGTGACCAATCTGCCTCACCCGGGAAGAGCGCAATGATGATGCCAACATGGGCCAGTGAAGCAACGTCCTCCACAGCTAGACTGAGGAACAAAGGGACAGCAACTTGTCTGGTCCCCTTCCCCCAATTCCCCAATAAAATCGTTAAAAAAAAAAAAAATTTGACTTCTAACATCTATCATCTTCCTTCACCATTTTTTTTGTCTAATTCTCCAGCATTAACTCTCTTTGTCTCTGTCTCTGTCCCCTTTTTTTTTTTTTTTTTTTTGGTGGAAGATAGAAAGCACCAAAGAAAATTGTGAGAGGAGACAAAGAGGGAGGCCCCAGCCTCTCTGCACTTGGGCTTGGCTCTTCCATACACAGCTGTTACAGATGCTGCTCAGACTGTTGATGAGCCAAGAGATTTGAACATCACTACAGTGATTAACTTTCTCAGATTTCCAAACATTATAGATTTTATGTTGTTTAATTTTAAAGGACACTCTGTCAAGTATAGCAATCACAAGTAATGCCACAACCAGATGGAGAACTGTTAATGAAATGGACAAATCTAAGAAATTACTAATGCTAATTGACCCTGACTGGCAATTACGAGGTACTAGTTACTGCACCAGCATGTCATATACCAAACATCAGACACATCCACTGTCCTCAGGGGGCAAAAGAGGAGGCATGAGGCCAAAGACACTTTCCACTTTCACCTTCCTTAATTACATCTTCCTAATTCACAGTTATTGAATTGCCACATTCAGATTATGTATTAAAATGTGAAATTACTATAGTAATACTAAATTTTAATCCAAAATTCAAAGTTAATTACATAATGTACAAGATTCAGAACTTAGAACTTTTATGACCTTAGCTAAGGGGAAGATAACCTAAAGGCTTTATAAACAAAATTCAGTTTTAAAAATCAAAACTATACTAACTCTTAAATTTAAAAAAATCCCCAAAGCCTACAAACATATTGTTCCAGAATAGGAGAGAAATGTGCTTTTTTTTCTTTACCATTAAAAGTGGTCCTGAAAATTTTATTTTAGTATTATTAGTAGTAGCTGAAAGTTAAACACACTTACATGTATATATCAATAGAAACATATCATGATCTATCCATGAACTGGAAAATCATGCATTCATTAAAAAAATAAAACTCATGCTTTATAAATCTGCTACTATGGCAAGATCACCAAGATATACTGAATGACAAAAACAAGAAGCACATACAAATGTATACTGTACTTGAGGGAAAAATATACCATCATCATCATCATCATCACTTGGGAAACAAATATTAAGAATATGAGAGTTACCTCTAGAAAGTCAATGTGGACTACCAGTGGGGAATGGGAGCTGGGGTAGTAAAACAGAATAGAAACCTTCCCTTTCTTTTTATAGCTTTTCGACACTTCTTTTAAAACCGTGTGCATGCACTGCTTTTAAAATTATTAAGGAAACTTTTGACTGTCTTTAAATTGATCCATATATAATGAAACAAAAAGATCCGGTGTAGGGACACTGTGGCCTGGCCTTCCAGGACACTCCTGGCACAGTCTCTGCCCCCTCTCTCACTCCTTCCCCTGGAAGGAGTTTCTGATCTAACTGCTGATACAGAAGAAGGGACTGAGCAGAGGGGCCCGGCCCCTTCTGAACTCCCTTTCAGAAGGGCCTGCCAAGAGACACTCAGACCCTTCCACTGTCACTAGTGGGGGGCTCAAGGGGGAAGAGCAGGTGTGCTGGCCTGTGCCCATCTAGTTGTAAGGCTGTCTAATTCAGCTGAAACACTGAAAAGCCTCTGTATTTTTGCTGCACAACTAAGCTGTGTTTTCCAAAAAACTTGTTACTTCAACCTTCATCTTGCACCTGATTTTCAATTGATTCTGAACCCATCTGGAGGGGAGGGGACGGAGAGTTCTAAATCCCAACAACCTCCAAGATATACCATTAAATGAAAAAAAAGAAGGATGCTGTATAGTGTGTACAGTATGAGCTCATCGATGCTAAATAAAAACCACTATAAAAATACACATATGTATAAAAATATCTAAAAGAACAAACATTAAACAGGGTAAAGGATGGACTGGGAGACGTGAGGGAGGACTGTCACTTTTTGCTTCTAGATTTACTTCTGTGCTATTCAAAATTCTCCAGCAAGCATGTATTCATATATTATTGTGGTAATTTTCAAGATATTTTAAATACAGTTTAATAATTTCTTCTGGAAGTCTTAGTAACTACAGAGCAAGTGCAAGTTTCTAAACTTTATAGTTATCGGCAGTTTCGAGAAGTGGTTCTCAAAGAGTGGGCTCCAGGCCAGCTGCATCAGTACCTAGGAACCTGTCCGATATGCAGACTCTGGGAACCCAACCCAAATCTGCAGAATCAGAAAGTCTAGGGGTGGAGCTTAGCGACCTGTTGTAATAAGTCTCCCCCCACACCACAACCCTGTGATGATAATGCTACAGAGCTTGAGAAATACATGGCTAAAGACTCATTTACAAAAATCAAGTTTCAATTTCCCCATTTATAAATCTTCAGGACCTATATACCACACACACACACACACGTCTACCTACCTATAAATCATGTTTCATCTCAACAAATATTTATGGAATAGCTTTCAAACTGCATTATTGTACTAACCTTTTTAGTATAAACTAAAATACTTCAGTAGAGAAATGGTATCATGAAACCACTGGAGAGAATCCCCAGCCCCTGTAAAGGGACTGAAGTATTGTCATAAGCCAGAACCGCAGAGCACATTTCCTACTGGGAAGGAACTGTAACATGGCTGCCTCCATACACACTGAAAAACATCCTCAACCAAGTAACAATTCCAATTGTTAATGGAATGTTAATACAATGTTGAGCATTCTCAGCTAGTATTTCTCCTTCATAACTTTATGTTAGGAAGTTTATCTAAAATTAAGTAGTGTTAGCATTTACAGATACCTGTTTGGTGATCGTCTTGGCCAACGTCTTCTGTTAGATTCTGCAAGAAATATGTTCATTATTACCAAGAAATCACATACCATACCGCAAGTTTTAAAATTCAATATTTTCATAAGTAGCTGATATCTTAATATCTATAACCTAAATTTTTATCAAATACACTTAAAAAAGCTATTTTAAACAGTTGGTAGCTTTTGTCTTTAAAAGATTGACTTACTAGCTTATTAAGGGTGTGGTAGATCTTATGAATATTTGCCAGTGTTGAGAGATGAGAATTCAGCTGAAAGTCTTTAAAAGAAAAAGGGGAAAATTCAGTGTCATTCATTTCCCACAGTGCAAAGACTATAAAAAAAGAGTTCACAAGTGAAGATAAACAAATGTTTGGATACAGTTGAATACTATCTCCATTAATTTGATACTTATTAGAACAGGCAACTACTGACCTAGAAATAAAGACTGACAACAAAGTTAAAATCCCAACCAAATGTTAAAGTTCATGAAATTTTCATATGAATTGTAAGGTAAAACAAAAATACTTTAGTAATTATAAAATCCTACCAGCAATGACCCTGAACCTAACAGAAAAATATCAATAACGTTAGCGAATTAAACAAGTCACACAAATAGAAGACAGATCTCCAATGAAACATCGCTTTCTCTTTCCATTAGTCTTCCCCAGTTACTAGTAAAATATCAAGCTCGCCCCATGAAAATAATAGAAAAGCATCTCAATCATTCAGCAGTTTTTACAGTATATTTATTGTTGGCTCTTAGACAACAGAGAGAGCAGAAAAGGAATCTAAGCCCCTTGCCCTCCCATTAGTCAAACACAGACAAATCAAAGAACTATCCCGCAAGCAAGTCTGGGAGGCCCTGTGATGGAGTCTGTTACTGCAATATTACATGTGCCACAGAACCAGAAACACAGAAGCAGAAATCACAGTCACAGAGAAATTATCCACGCTGAATCATCTCCAATAGTTGTGGAGTTACTAAATCATGCATACAACACAAATTAATTAAGTCGCTCCATCTAAGAATCCTGCACAACATAAAACTTGAAGTTAAACTGTTAGGCTTTTGAATCACTCATTTCAAATGATTTTTATAAAGTTAAGTATGCTTGCATATATATTAGGCTATGTAAAAATTAGTTAAAAGTCTGAATAATTTCATATTTGAATAAGCATCAATAGATGTATTTTCATAAAATATCAGGAATTACATTCGTTGTTTTCCTTTAGTATCATAAAGGTTAGTAAAGGTTAGTCTTGAAAGTTACCTTGAAAAAACACTGTATCTCTTCAAGTTATGCCATTCTGATAAAAAAAAGGGGGGGGGACCATCCTTCACTGGGATATTTTATTTGGGACATGTATCAGATGTCAAGAACAGACCCAAAGAACAGACACTACAATCCAAGCTGTCTATGCAGGGGGACTGGACATTCTGGGCTGCTGCTCCGAATCTGGAGAGCAAGCTGATTTCCCTGCCAGTATTTAGAAAGCTTTACTTTCTTTTCTAAATTGTGGCCGTAATCCAGTTCTTGGCTGGCCTACAGGGCAGAAGGGCCAGCAGGAAACCAAGCCCCTGACACTGACACTCCATTGTCAAGAGCTGCAGGCCACACAGGTACACACCGGCATATACTGCTCTGCCTACCTGGCAACAGCCAAACACCTAACACCACAGTCACAGCCATCAGGAGTGGTCCAAAGAACCAGGGTTTTTGGCTGAGAGACAACCAGAACAAGGGCTCAAGCTCTAAATAGGCCTCGAACATAGACAAGTGTTAATTGTTCGGCATCTGAACAGTTCAGCCGTATTTAAGGTAAATGATGACATAATGTGGCACAAATTCCATTTTAACTAATGCATTGCACAGAAAAGTTTTAAAAAGCACAAGGGGTGTGTGAGTGTGTATCTGTGTGTGTATTTACTCACTTATGTTTATATTTAATAAACATGGATAGAGATCTCTAGAGCTAGAAGCAACAGCCCTCTCCTGACCTGCCAGAGGCAATGGGGAACTTAACCATATACCACCCCTTCCCCTACCTCTATTCCAGGGCCATAATCCCCCTTTTTGTAGTCTCTCAATTTAAAAATAGGAAGACAAATGATACCTTCCATTATCATCTTGATATTAAATCCTGACATAAACTCCAGGGTACCCCCGCAAAAAACAAAAACAGGAAATTTAAGGGTCATGATTCTTTTTTCACTGAGGCCACACAGGAGGAAGGAGAGAAAGGGACTTGCCAAAGACCATGAAGCAATGTGGTTTCCAGGCCCACCATGCTACACTTTTTCACCACCCTGACGTTAATTCAACTGTCAAAATTCATATAAGAGAATCTAAACAAGTTGAAATTACTACATCCTTCTACACACACACACACACACACACACACACACACACACAAACATACACACACACACACACATATGCTTTACTACCTCTCTCTGGAGTCCGACATCTGGTTTGAATCTCAGGTCTACCAGTTATTTAACCTAAATTTGGATGTCCTCATCTGAAAAATGAGATTACAGTGTCCACATGTGATTACAGTGTCCACATGTGGCAGACATCCTTTACAGTGCCTGGACCAAAACAAGTGCTCAATAAAAGATACCAACTATCACCATATTCTCTTATACCATTTTCCACACCACACAGCTTCTAAAAGTGGCTCTAATTTCCGTAAGTCCAAGTCAAGCCCCACCACAGAAACCCCCAAGTTGGCGCTCCCTCTGTGATGGAGGCACATGTCCTGATCCATCTTCACAGCCTATGATGGCATCGCTGTACTCGTACATCACCCACTGGTATTCATGATAGTCAAAGGTCATCTCTACACAGTGGAAAAAATCTACAGGAGTGGTTATTCCAGGTTCCATACATGAAGTTTCACTTTACAGGCAACGAGAATAACAAAGTTCATTTCACAAATCACGTATGTCAGCAATTCTCCATTTCTATATCCAGTGTCTACTACCACTGCAGTATCACTTCACCACGTCCCCTGCCAAGAAATAAGTAAAAAGTAAAGGAACCATCAACGTGAATCATTTTTTTTTTAGTTTCACCAAGGTAAGAGGCAGCTAAGGAGGAGACACAAATTCAAGGAAAAAAAGACAAAAATGGCCTTAAAAGATAAATCCACAAAAATTAATACATATTAAATTTATGGTTCAGCTGTTCAGTGCTCAGGGCAAGTAATAGCCCTTAAAATCTAAAATAGATTTCACATCCTTAAGGAACAGACGTTAAGAGTAAAGATCAAACGCGAACATATTTAGGAAAGCACTAACTGATTCATAAAAACCTCCTTCGGCTCGTATTTCAATTCCGAAGGAAATGCTAGGTTAAGTCAACTTTATTCCATGATGAAATGGCTCTTTAGAGTAAAGCAGTGACTGGGGTTGGCTCTCCTGAGTGACATACAAACCCTATATTCTATATTAAAAGCAACAAATGGCCCGGTAAACAGGCACAGCCTACTTGATAAGCAGCTTGCTTAAATTATCTCTTGGGTATTCTTAAAACTACCACCGAAGGCTGACTGGGCATAAAGTTTTCTGGGTTGTTGGGTTTTTTGTTGTTGTTTTGTAATTACCATTTGCTATAACCTATATAACACAAAAGAAAAAAATGAATGCCACTGAGAGGGTCAAAGTCCATTCCCCCAAACTACCCTAGGTATAGAGTCCCGCAATATAAACAGAGACATAAATATTTGTAATGAAACAATTATGGGTAAGTTCAAACAATGACCGTCAACCAAGAGAATCAAATTTTAAAAATTAACAATCTACTTCCATAAGAGGGTCAGAAACAATTTAAATGTACAAAAATGAACACCTTTTCCTTTATCCCACAGTCACTTGTAAATTACAGCTGGGAGGTGACCTCAATTTTAATAGGAACAAAAAGCAATAACACATGTAGGAATAAACTTAAATATGCAACATTCAAATGAAAAACAATAAAAGCTACTGAAAAACATAAATGTAGAGACACTACATTCCTGGAATGAAAAGACCCAGTGTTTTAAAGCACTCCTCTTCCCTTTACTAAGCTAACTACAAATTAATTCCAATCTAATTCCTATTGTTTGCACCTCCCATTTTCCCACCCCCAAGAAAGAGGCGGGGAAAGGGAGGGAGTCAGACAAGCTTGGCAGATTGGGTCTGAAGTTCTTCTGAAAGAACAAACATGCTAGATTTGCCAAGAAATTGTTGAAAAGAATGAGGAAGAGCTTGCCCTATCAATACATAGTATAAAGCAGAGGTTGGTAAACTCGTTGTAAGGGCCAGGTCATAAACATTTTAGGCTTTGTGGGCCATATCATCTCTGTTGCAACTACTCTGCCTGTGTAGTGCAAAAGCAGCCATAAACAATACATAAACAAATGAGTGTGGCTATGTTCCAATAAAACTTTATTTATAAAAAAAACTAGGTGGTGAGCCAGATTTGGCCCATGAGCTATAGTTTGCCAATGTCTGAGATAAAGGTACATTAGTCTCCTCTTATCCGTGGTTTTGCTTTCTGTGGTTTCAGTTGGCTGAGGTCAACCACAGTCCAAAAATATTAAATGGAAAATCCCAGAAATAAACAATTCATAAGTTTTAAATTGTATGCTGTTCTGAGTAGCATGATGAAATCTCATGCCTGCCTGAGACACGAACCATCCCTTTGTCCAGCATATCCACACTGTCTCTGCCCCTGTCCATTAATCACTTAGCAGCCTTCTCCATTATCGGACTGACTTATCGACTGTCAAGTTATCACAGTGCTTGTGTTCAAGTAAACCCTCATTTTACTAAATTGCCCCAAAGCCCAAAAGTACTGGTGCTGGCAATAGGGATATGCCAAAGGGAAGTCGTAAAGTGTCTCCTTTAAGTGAAAACATATGTGTGCATAAGAAAAAAACGTAGTATATATAGGGTTCAGTACTATCCGTGGTTTCAGGTATCCACTGAGGGTCTTGGAGCATCCTCCACAGATAATGGGGGAGTCTGTATAGTAACTATAATGGTATGGTACGTGTGCAAGACAACAAACCAATGGAAAAGAGTTGATAAACATGTATATATGCATGTATGTACATATGTATGAATAAACACATAATCAATATATATAATAAAATTGCATTTTAAATTAATGGAGATGAGATCACTAGTCAGTAAATACAGGGGCAACTAGCTAGCATGTGAACAAATTAAAAGTAATTCCAAACTCACACAAAAATTACATATGGAAGGGGAAGGCATGCAAGGCAAAA